CTTCTCGAGGCCTCTTGTCTGTAATCGTTACAATAGTCCTAGAAGTTAGACGGTTGCTGTTATGTTTCCCCTGTATAGTCAGACTTTCTCACCGAATCCACATCTTTGCTCCTCACACTGCACTGTATTTGTGGCAGGTGTGATATATTACAGGATTGCTGTCCGTTTGATGTGGATATTGTGGGAGCAGTACGAGGAGAGGCAATAGAACGTACATTCAGCTCTTATCGCTATTGCAGTACTAATTGTAGCTTTTAGAAAGTAAGGTGCCAAGAACGGTGACATCACATGTCTGACCTTGCCTTTGACGTCCTTACACGTGAGCCTTTCAGACATCACTGACTTATTTCTGTCTATTGAATTTTTCTTTTTTGTCATCAGTTGACCATATAGAAAGGAAACTCAACTTAGCTCAACACTTATCTGACAAAATTTAAAAAAAAGAGGCCTTCAAGTTGGCGGCTGCTAAGGTGGCTCACAGGACGGCCATCAGCATCGCCATTCCTGAGAGCCACGCACACCCATGACACAGAGTGGCCTTGGAAAGAAAATGTCTCGTGGGTTAAATTCATATTCTCAACTCTAAGAGGTCAAGCAAAATTGAGAGCCCATTTGGGGGCTGGGAGTAAGTAGGAAAAATTTTTCAATTTCTATGTTTTGTATGTTCAAATCATCTAGGGCCGTAGTCGGCAAACTGTGGCTCGCGAGCCACGTGCGGCTCTTTGGTCCCTTGAGTGTGGCTCTTCCAAAGCCGTAGGAGTACCCTAATTAAGTTAATAACAATGTACCTACCTATATAGTTTAAGTTTAAAAAATTGGGCTCTCAAAAGAAATTTCAATCGTACTGTTGATATTTGGCTCTGTTGACTAATGAGTTTGCCGACCACTGATCTAGGGAGCCAAACTACTTTAATCAATTTAAGTAGGCAAATAGCAAACCAGTTTTCTTTGGAGAAGGACTTCCTGGTTGTCTTACTAAGGTCGACAAGACCAAATCACAAGGCAGGACTGGAAGTTGGGCCCAGCCCTAGGCTGCAGGGCGGAATGCCTAACGGCTAGACAGGCGCAGGTGATTGGTCTGCAGAGTGCAAACCACCCGTGGAGGCGGGTCACAGGCATGACTGACAGGTCTCATCTGGCTTGGCAGCGCCAAAGCATTGGCACTGGCTCCCTGGAGAGAGACTCTCAGCTGGAGAAGCGTTTTGAGGCTGCCTCTGAGCTGGGCAGGTTTGAGTGCCATAGCTAACATCTATCATTTGCGTGGGGGAGTGACGCACATGCTGTGTGTACCATTTGTGTCTATACTTTTTTTAATTTATTTTTTTATGTAAGTCTTTTTAAAAATATATGTTTATTAGAGAGAGAGGAAGGGAGAGGAAGAGAGAGATAGAAACATCAATGATAGGCTGCCTCCTGCACACCCCCTACTGGGGATCGAGCCTCAACCCAGGCATGTACCCTGACCGGGAATCGAGCCCGCAAACCTCCTAGTTCCTGGGTCGAGGCTCAACCGCTGAGCCACACTGGCCGGGCTGTGCCTATACTTTTAGAAGTGAAATGGGGGGTTATTGCCAAAGGCTCAGAAGTAACTCGGAGTCTTTCCGTGACAAGCTGAAAGGCAAAGCGCTGCGCCCACTGGCTTACTTTTGCTGCCCATGTGGCCCCAGCCTGTGATGTAGCAGTACGTGTCCGGCTCCAAGGCCTGCTCCGCGCTGGGCAGGCAGACGGGCCGCACGTAGCTGGTCTCCTGGACCTCCGCGCTGAGCTCCACGATGCTGATGTCGTAGTCCACCACCGCGCGGCTGTAGCGCGGGTGCAGGATGATGGTCCTCACCCCGCGCGTCTGCACGAAGGCCGACGGGTGGTCGAGATTGTTGATGCCAAACACCACTGTCCACACGGCGGCGTTCTCTCTCCTGCAATAGTAATTCAGGAGCCATTGGCCTCTTAACCTCTCGAGGGAGAAAGCTCAGCTTCACACGCGTCTCAGGTGCATGGAGCAGGCAGGGGAATTTACACAGTGGCAGGCACCGTGTCGCTGCGCACAGTAACCAGTCACTGTGCTTTGCAAGTTGCCACAATCTAGTTTAGACATGAAAATGGCACATTTGTGCTTCATGCAGCTAGCCAAGGTCAGAGATTTTCTATATCTTTTCTGGAGAGCACAAACTTTCCCTTTTTTACCCTTTTTGCTTTTGCTTTAGTATCTCAAATATTTCTCCCCCCCCTTTTTTTTAGGAAAGAATGAATATATATATAATGAACACCTGTAATAGAAATCACCCTATTTTATCTTACTCCAGAAATAGCATAGCTAAGTGGCAATGTGGAGGTAGTTTAAAGGTCACCAAATTTGTTCTAGGAAATATCACGCAACAGCGTCATTGCTGTTCTATAAATATTACAAATGTCTTACTTTTAATAGTGGGCTCTGCCCTTGGTATTTCTAAAGAATTCTCTGTGACACATGCCGTGAAATGACTTTAGGGTGACCCACAAGGAAATGCGTGAAGGGGCTGGATGTGCGTCAATAAGTCAGACCACAAGGCCTGTCCATCTGGAGGGCCATCACTTCTCAGTTCTGCTAATTGCTGTCATGTTGAAATGCCCGGTGTGACCCGACCTTCTGATTGTTCAAGGGAGAACGAGGTTCTGGATGTCAGAATGATCTTTTCCAGACCACTCAGGTCATACCTACCCCACCCAAGCAAGAGACCACAGAACCCTGCTCAGTGCAGATGCAGAGTGCATGGATAGGTAGTTGCAAGGCTAGAAGAAACAAAGAAGTAACTATGAAGGTTGGAAAGAGAAGAGCGCCCAGTTTCAGCAAGCCCCAGGAGCTATGGGTTGGCCCATATTTTAGGCCAACTACTTGCTATGTTCTAGACCAGGGGTCCTCAAACTACGGCCCGCGGGCCACATGCAAATACAAATATTGTATTTGTTCCCATTTTGTTTTTTTACTTCAAAATAAGATATGTGCAGTGTGCATAGGAATTTGTTCATAGTTCTTTTTTTAAACTATAGTCAGATCCTCCAACGGTCTGAGGGACAGTGAACTGGCCCCCTGTTCAAAAAGTTTGAGGACCCCTGTTCTAGACCCAGACATTTCCACTGAAAAGGGAAGGAAGGCAGAGAATACCTCCACAGGGGGCAGGACCGTGGGGAGAGGGAGTCAGGTCAGTTACCAAGGGCTTTTGACAACCACACTGGATTGCTCTCCACTGATGCTAAACAACAGCACCCCAGGGGAAGTATGGAAAATTCCCGTTTTACTGGGCATTATTACTGAAAGGAATGGATCAACCCCGTACGTCAATAAAATGAAAAGAAACAAACTGTGAATTACTGGCATAGTTCATAAGCACCTAGAAGATAAAAAATAGTAACCCTGAGGACACAACATGGGTTCAGTATGAAAAGTCAAATCTCTCACTTTCTTTTCCGAGTATATAAAAGGACTGAGATTGGGATAGGTCTGCCCAGCATGTACGGCAGAAAGATCTAGGAACAAAGAAGCTGAAGGTCCTGGTGAGAGGGCTGAAGTGACCAGCCCAGGGCACTTCGTCAGCTGGAGAGAGAAAGGAGATGAGGAGACCACATTTCCTTGATGGGCTAAGATAATGGGGGAAGAAGTGCAGACAAGCAACAAAAGTCTTGTTAGAGAAGTCAAGACAAGGGTGACCTAGCAGGGGTATCGATTATGGTCACACTAGAGGCCCAGTGCACAAGATTCATGCACTGGCGGGGGGGGGTCCCCTCAGCCCGACCTGTGCCCTTTTGCAGTCTGGGACTCCTCAGGGGGTGTCCACCTGCTGGCTTAGGTCCGCTCCCAGCAGGAAGCTAAGCCGGCAGGTGGACATCCCCTGAGGGGTCCTTAGCACTGCTGTGGAGGCAGGAGAGGCTTCCGCCACCGCTGCTGTGCTCGCCAGCCGTGAGCCCTGCTCAGGGCTTCTGACTGAGCAGTGCTCCCCCTGTGGGAGTGCACTGACCACCATGGGGCAGCTCCTGCGTTGAGCATCTGCCCCCTGGTGGTCAGTGCTCATCATAGGGACCGGTCATTCTGCTGTTCAGTCAATTTGCATATTAGCTTTTTATTATATAGGAGGATAGTAGGATGATAGTTATTCATGTGGGTTTCCTGGAGAGAAATCAGATGCTTCCGACAATTACTAGTTGTTTGCCAGCCTAGGAAGGTCATCCTTCCATCTCTCAGACACAGAAGAAGGCAGGAAAATTGCTGTTCCGTTACCCCTGAAAGGCAAAGTCTTTCTCCCTTACAACTGTTGAATTCTTATTAGGGCATATGGAACTTGATCTGATCAGCTTAGCATCTCATGTTTTTAATTTTCATTGGGGATTTTTAAAGACCTCTCCATGGAAGAGCAAAACAAATTTGTGGCTTTTCCCCCACCAATATAATTAACAGAGACAGGCCTGAGGAGACCTACAGATGAGTCACACTGGGATTGGCAAAGCATGGGATCAGGATATGAAGTAAATCCCATTAACTGCAGCAATCGATGGCTCCAGCAGAGAGTAAGGCTTATAATTAGAAGTTCTCAAAAGCTTGCAGGGCCACTGGAGAGACTGTAAAATAGAATCAGAGTTATTAGCACACATTCAAACGAAGGCTTGTTTGAAGTTGGGCCATTTCTAGTTTCTTATGGACAAGCCAGGCCCCTCTTGACAGTTCTGTTGAGTTTAGTGTTCCATAAAATTTCACCAAGGCCTTTGATATCTTACCCATTTCCTTAATTATAAACACATATTTCTTCTCTATTGCAAGGCTTCTTCTTAACTGCACAGATCCGTCCCTGAAAGAGGAGACTTGGACGCCACATACGGAAACAACAAACATTGGATCTGAACCTGGGTGAACTAGCACGTGGAGAATGTGTTTCCCTTAAAGACCTGTTGGATTCGTTTAGGTAATCATCTTTTGATGAATGTACTCTTGCTAGTCTAATCTTCTAATTACCCTGGAGTTATAAATCAGACCTGGAAAAGACATCCGGAAACATCTGGCTTCTTCCGAAACAATTACATTGCCGTGTATTTCCTGACAGACTACACAGACTCCTCAATAATTTAGGGTCTTAGATGCTAAATGTTCTCCAGCGGAGGTACTGGTTTGATGTTTTATATTTCACTTTCCCAAAAAGAGTGATCAAATAACTGGATATACACATTTGCATTTCACAATCACTTATCACATTACATTCTAATTATTTGTTTAAGTGTCTGCAACCTCATTAGGTTAGCAATCCAAGGAAGGAAATGTGTACTCATCTTTGTAACCCCCACCTGGAACTGGATATACGTGCTAGGACTCTATTCCTTAGAAAGGCAAGCACCAGTGGGTGAGTAGCTTTGTATAAGGAGGTGTGTTGCAGTATTGTTAAAATGGTAGCAAATTGGAACTAACCGGAATGTCCATCAGCTGTGGAATAGTAATAAAAAAAAGCTATGGTAAATCTATATTATAGAATATCATTTTGCTTTGGGAAAGAATGAGTTAGAGCTACATCCATTGACCTGGAGGGATGCCGGCGATATATTGCTACACGAGAAAGTCACCTTACAAACACAAGTATAGAGTGGGATTCCAGATTGTAAAAGGAAGCAATGACACCTGGGGGGAAATGTATGTTTATAGCTGTGCCGGCACATTCACCAGGCTGTGATGGGGGGTACTGTGAGGAGGGTGAGGAAGTGAAGGTGAGTGTGAGAGGAGAGAAAGACAGTGCTAGCAAAATGCAAAGATACTCAGGCCATAGTGCTAAGGGAAAAGGGAGAATGCATGATTTCAGTAATAATTTTTATTTTAAGTTGACCTTTATCAATGTCTCACTTATTAATCCCAGGCACGATTCTCAGGGCTTTACAGAGGCTCACTTAATGGCTGCACCACCCCTGTGACTGCCATTTCCTTCATTTCACAGAGGAGGGAACTGGCCCAGAGAAGTTCATGAGTTGATCCATGGTCACACAGTAAGTGGCAAATTTGAGAAAAAACAATAATAGGCCAAAAAAATGAAATTACATTTTTTTTTTTGGAAATTAACCTGGGCAAATGAAAATAGTCAATTAGGTGATAGGACTGTGACTTAATTTGTTTTAAAAATTTGCTATTGCTTACTATGACTTTTAAATAAAGTAAAATTATTAAAAATAAAATTGGTGGTATGATGGTTATTTAAAAGAATGTCCTCCCCCTGGCCAGTGTGGTGGCTCAGGTGTTTGGCGCATCATCCGGTACAACTAAAAGGTGGCAGGTTCAATTCCTGGTCAGGGCACATACCCAGGTTTCAGGTTCGACCACTGGTCAGGCAGTACAGGAGGCAACCAATCAATCTCTCTCTCTCCTCACTCTCTCTTAAAAGAAAAAATGTCCTCGAATCCTTTGACACTCCTCCCTCGGAGAAGAGAGTTTTGTGTTTCTTCCTTTGGATCTGGGTAGGGCTCAGAGGGCTCTGACCAGCCCCACAGCAGAAGCAGTGCTGCATGTCTTGGAGGCTGGGTCACAAAAGGCATCGTATCCTCCTGGATCCCTCCTTGGGAAGCTCACTGTGCCCAGATGTCAGTCACCATGCTGAGTGCCACGTGGGGAGGAACGAAGGCCTGGCCCACTGGCAGCGCTGCCTGGAGAGCGCAGCTCCCCCTCCCCCACCAACCCACCCAAAAACCGCCTCAGACTTCCAGCTGGTGCTGACATTGCTGCCCAGCAGAGACAAAGCGCACCAGCTATGTCCTTCCCGGTGTCTGATCCCTGGATCTTCTGGGAGCATAATGCATGTTTGGGGGTTTTCTTTGTTGTTGCTCGGTTTGGTTTTCTTGCTCCTGACATAACAGACAGGTGGATCACATGAGGACCTTCCGCAGTATTGTTTGTCAGTTGGGGGTAGTTATTCCCTTGGTCTTCCTTTTCTGCTCCTTTAGGCACATTGTCCTGGTTAATTTATGTGCCAATGTGGCTGGGCCATGGTGCCAAAATATTTGGTCAAAGATTCTGGATTTTTCGGTGAAGGTGTATTTGGCTGAGATTAACATTGAAATCAGTGGGCTTTGAGTAAAGCAGACTACTGTCCATAATGTAGGTAGGCCTCGGCCGATAAACGGAAGGCCTAATAAACAAGTCAATCTCCCCTGAGCAAGAAGGAATCCACCTAGCCAACGGCCATTGGACGTGAACTACAATCCTACCCTATCTACCGGCCAACCCCGTTAGATTTTGGACTCGCCAAGCCTCCGCAATCATGTGAGCCAACTTCTTAAAGTAAACCTCTCGCTCTCATTGGTCTCTTTCTCTGGAGAACCCCGACTAATACACAGAGTGTACCTTTAACTCTGCTTCCCAAAGTCCTCACCAGTTCCTCCAGCACCCTCCCCTCACTGTAGTATCCCCTTGAGTAAGTCCCCCCTTTCACTCCACATGTATCTGATGTATTCAAAAGGGCTAGAAAAGACACCAATGCTGGCCAGGGAGTCAATCCGCTAAACTTCCTATCCCTCCCTCTTTAGGACATAAATCATAAGCAAGATCTATCCTTCACACTTACACAGGCTGACAACACCGAGGGCAGAAAAACCCAAGCAGACAGAGGCCCAGGAAGAAGATCATCGGTGGCTTTTGAGCTGAAGGGGCTTCACTAAGAACCCAGGTGACAAAATGACCAGATCCAGGCAAAGCAAAGGAGAAAAGGTGCAGCTCACCCCTCGAAGCAGTGGGCGACGGTCAGGACCCACTTCTTGGCAATGAGGACGCAGCCACAGATGTGCCCACTGGGCTCACTCTGCAGGGAGCACTGCCAGGGCCACCTTCCAGGGCGACTCGTCCGGCCCCCGAGGATCCTCTTGTTCATTCGGGCAGCAGGGCGGCGCCCACAGTCTACCAAGGAGCAGGAGAGGCAGAGGCGTGTGTGACTCACCCCCTAACCCAGCTAGACGCTGTCACATGCAAGGGATCGTTTTTCCCCTGAGCCAACCCAGCTAAATAAAGTTTATGCCCCACTGGGACATCATTCATTCTCTCACCTTGTTTAGCGCACAGAAGAGAAATCTTACTTCTGCTGTGGCAAGACTGCCTGGATTTGGAAACATAAAATGGTATAATATTAAGTTACATTCATTGTTCACTTCAAACACTACCCGTGAAAAGCAAGCCATAGGTTCCACCCTTGCCTGAGGTCAATTCTCACGGCGGGGCTGTTGTCAGAATCACCTCGAGGATGGGGTGTACAAAGGATGTGTACTTTTTCTAGTTTATTTAATATCATCGTAATCAAATTTCACATTTGTCAGAAGGGGAGCTATTGTTAGCAAAGTTTCCCACCTCATCTTGGTTGATAAAACCACCCAAAATATGAACTCAAACCATGATTTTCCAAGTAGGGAGGAGAAAGTGGGGGGAGGATTGGGCTGCTTCTTAGAATCTACAGTGAGGGGGACCATGTCAGATTTTTATGCTCATGGAGAGGCATGTATGTCAAAAAAATTTGAGAACTAGTTTGAAATAAATAAAATGTTAGAGAATGGATAAAAATTGAATATTTAAATTGTCAAATAATCTTGCCAAGACTATTAGATTATGGATCTATGACTGGCTGACAGGTAAAAGGGGGTTAACTTTATTCCACGTAGCTCTAGATGGCAGAGTCAGGACTAATGGTAGAATTCATAGGAAGTGTGGGCTCAGGAGAAGAACTTTCTAAAAATTGGAGTTAATCTTTGAAGGCAAGAACATGGGCCATGTTTCAGCACCTATCAATGTGGCTGCACCAGAAAATTCAGTGTAGGGTACATCAAGTTTTAATCACAAAGCTCCTTCCAACCATGAAGCATTTATTTACAGTGTAAATTAAAAAGACAAAAAAAAATTTGGGGGGACTGTTAGATATATCATGATGTGCTTAGAATCCTAGACCTCTCAGAAAAAAAAGTATAGACATATACATACATAAGTATATATCCATCCCTACATACGTCATTTCTACATTTCTTTTTGAAGATTTACTGTATTTTCATTTCTTGCTAAATTTGCATGGGGATCTGTGTAATTATTTGTATACAACAAATTACATAATACATAAAAAGTACATTGCTTTTTGACTTCCCACAACCTGAAGTTGTATCTCCTCCTCCCTCCCTCTCCTCTCTCTCTCTCTCTCTCGTTATCCTTAATTTCTTTGTAGCACTTCCCAATATCTGAAATTCACATTGTTCACTAGCTTATAGCCCATCTGCCCACCTATATAATGTATGTTCCTTGAGACCAGGGTCCTTGTCCCCCTAATTCTCTTCTATATCCCCTCAAAGCTTAGCACTGAACTTGGCATGGAAGAGACGCTCAATAATTAATTGCTATTTGTTAGATCCAAAATCATAGCTTATACGAATAGGAAAAGACACCAAAGACTATCCATCTCAACTATTTATACTATAGGAAACTGTGGTTATATATATAAGATCCCACATCTAATTAGTAAGCCAGGACTCAAGCCAGTTCTACCAACTCCCAATTCAGAATGAGATATTTTATTTATTGATTTGACCTGAGAGGGCTTCTCCAGCATTCCCAGTTTGGGGAAACATATCACACTGTTGAAAGATTCAGGTCATTGTTCTGGAGGAAGTACTTCAGTTGACAAATATTCAGAAATGTGGCTACAGAGTTTGGTCTATGGGGAAAATGTCAAGACATTCTAAAGAAAATGGCCCACCTTTGGTTTTCTTCTTTGAAATTCTTAAGCAGTGTCTTCCCTCGGACTTATTCAAAGCTGTGGGGTCAGAACCTGGTTTGAATTGAGAGGCTATCCGTTCCCATCTGCGGGCAGTGAGTTTTGAGTTTTGAGCAAGTTATTTGCATATTCTATAGCTATGTCCCTATCTATATATATAAAAGCCTAAGTGGCCATTCGACCATTTGGTAGCTAGGATGCACACTGACCACCAGGGGTCAGACGCTCAATGCACAGGCATGGAAACATGGAACAAACTGATGAATCTCAGAGGGAACGGGGGAGCGGAGAGGGTGGGAGGAGATTAACCAAAGATTTTATATGCATACTAGAGGCCTGGTGCATGGATTCTTGCACCCGTGGGGTCCCTCAGCCTGGCCTGTGAGGATCAGGCTGAAACCGGAAGTCTGACATCCCCCAAGGGGTCCCAGATTGCAAGAGGGCGCAGGCCAGGCTGAGGGACTTCACCGATGCACAGATCTGTGCACCGGGCTTCTAGTAATGTAATATGCATCAACTTCCTTGACTTATCTTTCTCCTACAGACTAGACAAGGGAGGTGGCTCTGTTTAAGATGCCATTATTCTTAGGGGCAATTTTCCACAGGTGCACTTTCAAGGCTACTTGATTCTAATTCCATCCCATGTCCATTTTTTTCTCAGACCTTCCAAGCTTTATTAGTTTTCATTACTTCAATTCCCTGTGTTAACTAGTTACATGTAGCATTGGTAGCAAGTGCAAACATGGAATTCATTTCGAGTAGGAAGTGAAAAATAAACTCCAACGTTATATTGCAAGTTCCTTCTCCTTCACCACAATAGTTTCTGTAATCATCATTAAAGGAAAACATCACTAGCCAAGAGAGAGAGAAAAATCTATATCTAGAAAGAAAAAATAAAGCCAAGCGATGTTGAAGTTAAAGCCAGCAGCCATTCTGTGGAAACTCACTATTGATGTGACAAATGTGCATCATCTCAAGTGAGAAAGAGAGGAAGGGCCCAGATGATAGACTCTCACTCTATAATGCACACGACTCAGCTCTTGGGAGGGTGTCTTACCCTTTCACCAGCAGTTCATGCAAAGTGCTCCCATTGAGGCTCTCCCAGTCGGAGTGTAATGTCAGCCACTGCTGGTCTTGCTCCTGTTCCTGCATGAATTCGGTCACAGACGGTTCTCTGAATGAAGGGTAAAGACCAGTTAAACAGTCCAACCACAGTGAGCTTTGGCCAGACCAGTGATGGCGAACCTTTTGAGCTCGGCGTGTCAGCATTTTGAAAAACCCTAACTTAACTCTGGTGCCATGTTGCATAAAGAAATTTTTTTGATATTTGCAACCAGAGTAAAACAAAGACTTATATTTTTGATATTTATTTCATATATTTAAATGCCATTTAACAAAGAAAAATCAACCAAAAAAATGAGTTCGCGTGTCACCTCTGACATGCGTGTCATAGGTTCGCCATCATTGGGCCAGACAGTATCATTATTTGGCACTTACTCTCTTTCCCCCAAAAAAGCATTAAATTATAAATCAATATTTCAAGAGGGGGATTTGTATTTGAAATTTGGCGTGAAATGTGATCAGCAAGAGGGGAAGTTACTATAAGTTTACTAAAGCAAAAAAAAAAAAAAATTCCAAATTATTACAGCTGTTTTAGTCATTCCGTCTGCTGACATGTATTTGAACTTGGTGAGGTGTTAGAATTCTAACGTATATGTTGTAAAAATTCCAGTATCTAAAATACAAGAGCAACTTTAAACAGGGGTCAAAAGTAAAATAAAATTTATCTGGCTGGGTGCTTTTTTTTCTTCTCTTTTCTTGCCCAATGTTATCGTGCAATGTAGCAATACCTTTAAATAAAAATAAGTAATAACTAAAGAGAATAAATGGCCATTCAGTGTCTACTTAGATGGTATAAGATTGTATGTAGAATTATTTTAACATACTGCAAAATCCTTATGCACTAAAAATTGGGAAGGACCCTGAAAAACAGAGACAAGGTTAGACAACATTATTTTGTTCCTGACCCACATTCTCACTCAACTTCCGCCAACATTGTCCTGTGATTGTCTCATTCAATCATTCACATAAATATGGTTACACTGCATCCAAGATTTAAAACCTTAGGTTTCAAAGTATTTAGGTTTTAGTGTAAAAATATTCTATTCTTCATAAATCAGTTGGTTTATTTAGGCAAACCATATTTGAAGAAAACCTTTGGGGATTTTATCACCTGATACAAAAAAGGGTAGAAGAGGTAGAGGAGTTAGTTTTAGACAGAAGGAAGGGGGTGCTTCCTTTGAATCTGGGAGGCAGTGGGAAAAAGGAAGCAGGTCCTTTGTTGGCCTTGGAGAAGGAGAGAGAATTCATCAGAAGAACTGAAATCAGACAGCCTCCACTTATCAAGTAGCAGGGGTGTGTGATGAGGAGGAAAGTGATATGTTTATGGAATTGTTCCCTGGTGGGATTTTTTGGAGAAACACATCAGAGATAACTTAGAAGAATAACAAGCAGCGTTAAGGGTTCAGAGGAACCTGGAAATCTTGAAGCTGTGGTAGCATCAAGTCTGCATGCGTAGTGACTTTCATTTTTGATAATGGAATGCTGTGTGGGGTTTTTTGCAAAAAAAAAGGGTGGGGGGCAAGGCACAGGAAAAGGAAAAAAGTTAGATTCAGTGGCAGTGAAAGAAAAATGATAATTTCATCCAATTATTAATTATTTTAAAATTGCTATAAATAGGGGTGGGAGGATGGGCAGGAAGTGATTAACCAAAGAACTTGCATACATATATGCATACCCCACGGACACAGGCAATAATGCAGTGAAGGCTGGGGAGGGGGCGGGAGCATGGTGCAGGGGATCAGGGAAGAGGGCGGGGGGAGACATCTGTAATGCTTTAAAGATAAAATTTTTTAAAAAGAAAAAGAATAAAAACTTTTAAAAAGGGGAAAACCCTTTAAAGAGAACATTTGATGATAGAATAAAAGCCAAAGATTAAAAATAAAACAGCCCTTAATAATGAATGGATTCTAATCATTTGATTTGAAAACAAATGGCACAAACCCAGACCACACTTTAAAAAAGAGTTGCACAAGGTTTAAATTTATTTAGAAACTTGGGAGAACCATTAGATTATTGAAGACTTCACAAAACCTACTGCACAATGAGGATTTTTCTTTTCCTCGACCAAACTGGGAGTCTGGCTTCCCACCAATCCCAGAATGCTGATGGGATGGTAAGTATGAAAGTCAGCGGCCACACAGAACACTCCTGGTGTTTCTCCTGATCCCTGCATCCTGAGAACAACCATGGCCGCCTACATCCAGGCATTTTGCTGGCAAAAAGCCGAAGGAAGGTCAGCTCAGCCTTGTTTGATCAAGTCATTGTGTGGGCAGGTATTCACAGGCCGCCAGGGACTTAAACAGGGACAGTTCAGCAGAGGATTTACACTGGAGCTGGAGAGAAACCTCTCCACAAAGGGCCCTTCAGTCTTTCAACTCAGAAGGTCCCTCCAGTTAAGCAAGGGCTCCCTCCACTGAGCACTGCATACAGGATAATTTTACATTTCACTCCTCAGCCTCCAGCAAGAAAGGCAATTTAGCCTGAATCTCTTAGTTACATCAAGTGGAAAATCGAAGACATTCATCATTAAGAAGAGGGGAGAATCATTATAAAAATTAGTTTTCCATGAAATCCTAAACACTAGCCTGCTTCTCGTGGACAAAAATAAATCTTTCAGCTCTAAAAACGTCATCCTATTGCCCATTAAAAATATATCCATGAGTCCAGATGGTTCATTTCTTCTATCACACAGAATCTGAGCATCTGTGTGATTTTAATTTTTCTTGCGTTTTTTCAAAATAATTTAAAAATCATAAAAGTAATACTTATGCATGGAAAAAATACACAATGAAAATACGTACATCTTCCCATCCCAGATGTATAGAAACAACCACTGGAAATAGTGTTTGCGTATCCTTGCCAAGCCTTTTCTATAATTCCTGTATATATATACTCCTGTATTTCCAGTCTATACACATTGTTCTGTGCGCTGTTGATGACGCTTTCATTTAATGATTCACCTTGGAAGTCTTTCCATATAATAACATTTGTTAACTATTTTCTCTATGCCACGTATTAAAAGACTAACTCATTTATCTTATTTAATCCTCTCAACAACTTTGTGAAGTTTGCTGTATTATTATTCCCCATTTTGGAGATGGAAAAATTGAGGCAAAGAGAGAATAAGTAACTTGCCCCAAGGCCACACAGCAAATAAATGGTGGAGCTGGTATGTGAATGCCTGAGGTCTGATGTCAGGTTACCATTCACTCCTAACACTCTGAGCACTATGTGGCCCAACTTCATTAACAGCACAAGCCATGTTCTTTTTTTTTTAATCACTGCATAGTGTTCCCTTATATGGCTGTGCATACATTACTTAGCCAGTCCATGACTGATGTACATGTAAGTTGTCTCCAATTTTTGGCTATACTAGCAAAAAAGCAGCAGTAAACACCCTTAACCATTCAACTTTGCCTATATGCACTAGTGATTTTAGAATAAATTTCTAAAACTAAAGTTATTGAATCAAAATTTAAATTTTCAATTAACAATATGAATTTTCTCCTCAAAGAGTAATGCTAATTTACATACTCATCAAGAATATATGTGTCTGTACTTTTTATTTTTACTACATGTATAAAATATAAATCATGCTATTAAAAGGTATCTGGAACCCTAGCCAGTTTGGTTCAGTGGATAGAATGTCTGCCTAGGGACTGAAGGATCCCGGGTTCAATTCCGGTCAAGGACACTGCCCTGGTTGCAGGCTCAATCTCCAGAAGGGAACGTGCAGGAGGCAGTCGATAAATGATTCTCTCTTATCATTGTTGTTTCTCTCCCTCTCTCTTCCTCTCTGAAATCAACAAAAAATATATATATATATATTTAAAAAGGTATCTGGAACTTAAATATTGCTCAAATTTTGTTTGGCATTTCATAATTCATTTGACAACATCTTTTTTCTATATTACATCAAGAGACAAATTAAAGAAATCCTGTTGGAGGCAGAGCTGCCTCGAACAGACTGTCGAACTACAGCGGGAAGGCCGGGGAGGGTTGGGGGACAGGAGGGGGGTGGTAAGAGATCAACCGAAGGACTTGTATGCATGCATATAAGCATAACCTATGGACACAAGACACTGGGGGTTAGGGAAAGCCAGGGGAAGGTCAAGGGGAGAAAAAAAAAATATTAAATCAATAGTAAAAAAAAAAAAAAAAGAAATCCTGTTGGGTAGAGAGCAAAAAAATATTTTGCCAGTGATTAAGCATAAAAGTCACTATATCCTAAGAGCAGGGAATGCTGGGCAGGGAATGTTGTCAGACCCAAGTGCTTCTACAGTCACCATGAACTCCTATACAGAGAAGGAAATTTAAGCCATGATCTAATGATTGAGGGGTGGGGAACATCCGGTCCTCGGGCTGTATAAGGCTCAAGAAATCCTTTGGTCTGACTCTGCCAAAGCATTAAGAGTGAATTAATTAAATGTTTGACCAAATATAGCAGGCAAATTTTTAAGCTGCTAATTTTGTATGGCCCATGAATAATGTTATAAGTATCCAAATGGCTCCTGGCATTTGGCCCCTGAATTCCCTCATTTGACAGCCTGAGAAAACTGGGACATACATCAAGACCCATACCAAACATTTGTGGGGCCTAGAGCAAGAGTGTAAGTGGAGGCCCACATACCCTATGCCTTCATAGGGTTAGAAGTCAAGTTAGATGTTAGAAGTCAAGTTAACAAGCTATTAAAGAAAATTCTATCTTTCCTCTTGACAATCAGATTTCTTTATGTTTAAATATAGAGGTATTGGACTCCTTGGAACAGTCGTTTTCAAACCTTGGCATTCATTCATCAGAATTACCTGGAAAACCTGTTAAAATGGAGATGTTGCCCCTTCCCCAGATTTCCTGATTCAGCAAGTCTGAGATGGGCCCAAAAGGTTGCCTTTCTAATAGGACTCCAGGTGCTGTGGCTGGTGGTGGTCAGAACCATAATTTGAAAACATTGCTGAACAAGAACCAGGCTCTCGATGGGCATAACTCCTTGGCTGACAGACTTCTTGCACTCTGGGGTGAAGCTTGGCTGGAGGCGGAAAGCCAGGCTGGAC